GAAAGGTGCTTTGCTGGAAATGAGGAGAGGTTTACTAATGCTCTGCTTAATTTTCTGGGGTCACCTTACTTGAAAGCATATCTTGAACAGTGAGAGTGCAAGAGAGAGGCCATGTGCTTCTTTCCAGAGATGAGCGTGCAGGAGACTCTTCTAGGGTGGTTTCAAGGATTCCTGAGAAGGGTAGACACATATACACAGACTACAAGGGGAAACGCAATAAGCGTTTTATTAACTACAAGTATGTGTTACGCTAAGGGTATCGTACAAAGCAATTGTCTTACCAACCCGAGGACTGTGAGGAAGATGGACCATCCGTACATTCTTGTGTTGTCTTGCGCCGCGTGCTCAGCCCAGCGTCAGTAGGTGCCAGCTTTACATGGGCATCCCCATGGAGGCAACGGTGGCCTCGCCGTACACCAGTCCCCTGCTTCTTGGGAAAATCCCAGTATTCATACATTTGCAGAGGAGTGGGTTTCGACACATGTGACCAGCGAGTGCCGAAACACGCCTGTCTTGCTGACTCTCAGCATAGGGAGCCTGTGGCGTATGCCCCCGCTGGTCAGGCATGCTGCACGCGCCATAGCCATCCCATCTGTTGGTTTGTAGGCTCTGTACACACGGCATATTATCAATCATGCTTAAGCCAATAACAAGATGTTGCAAGGATTCCTCTCTTCACATCCTCCCCTAGTATTGTTCAACTTTCTTATCTCTGTGGGAAACCGTCTGGTTTCTCTCACCCGGCCTGTTATCTACTTCTCACCCAGCTATCTGTTTTCTCATTGTGCTAACTGCGGTGTTCTCACAGACCGAAAGTCCATCTTTTAACCCCTCTGCTGCGGTTTTCTCACTGTCTACTTCTCACTCAGTGTCCAACTACAGACCAAAATTCCACCTTTTAACCCCTCCATATACAGACTGACTGGCAGCTGCAGGTTGGAGAATGCTAACCCTCGCCAGAGCACTGTGCCACCCAGACAGGCCGGCTGGGAGCATGAGGGCCACAGCAGTGGCTTTCCTTGGACTGCCACCAAACAGCTTTGAACCCGTGCTGTGAAAACACACCTGCCCACAGCTGCTGCCTTAGCAACTGCATGCTGTAGTCAGGCAGCATTGGCATACCTGAGCCAGCACAGAAGATGAGGCAAGAGCTACAACAGGTTATATCGTCATCCTTGTCTAAGCAGGAGCATGTTCCTGTGGGAGAAGGGTGGCTTCCACAGCTGCTTGGTTTGAAGGTGACCAGAAGCTCTCCCTGCTGCTCCTCTGTCACCACCCCAAGATGACTCCAGTACGGCATTATAGTCCTCTTGGTAAGGTGTCTGGCTACCAGATAAAAGGTTCAATGAAATAGGCTGGGCACAGGCTCTTTGTCACACCTAAGAGTGTGGGGCTCTGTAGGATGGTGTTGAGTTGGAGTCAGCTTCTCTTGGCAGTGTTGGCATACTGTCTCACAACTGGTTCCTGCACAGGCAGCAGGAGGACAGGCACAGCAGCAGCAGGGAGGCACTCAGCTTTTGACAGTGCAGCCTTTCTGGAAATGATGAGCTCTTACAAGCAGACAAATGAGCTCTTTGAACAAAACAAAATGCAAGGTGTGTGCTGTGCCAGGAACTGGCCATGCAGGTCAAGTATGTGCACTAGCTTTGCACAATGTTCAGGTGGTGAAAAAGCTAGAAGAGCTTCAGATTGTGCCCTCAGCAAGCTGCCAGGTCAGGGTGGCTGGGAGCTGTTACCCACTGTGTTACAATGAGCACTTGAACTAGGGGTTTGCAGAAGTACAGTAGCACCCCATGCTGCTTCTGTTAGGCTCTATAACCTATCCACTGTAATACAAGAACATGAAACATTTCATGATTAATGAGTTCCAGGGAAAATTAATTAATGAGTACCCACTGAATTGTCTCCACACAAGGACAGAATAGTCCTAACTGTACTGAACAGTCAGGGTCTCAAGTATATTTAACACAAACTTGAAAGATTAATTGGGAAAGCAAACTTTATTTTTGCTTTCCTTGTGAAGATGAAGTCAGTATGAACGTTTGGATTTTTCCATAGTGACTGATAGTATAAATATTAACAATTGTAAACAATATTTGAATGCTGTACTTCCAGCTCAACCTGTTGAAAGTTTAAAGATACTTTCACATCACCTCTTCCAGGACTTACTCCATATATTGAAATTAACTGCTTGCTCCTGCTCTGCAATGTGAAGTGACTTAAATTGCATGTATTTTGTGAATAATACAGAACAATTTTCTGTATGCATGCGTGATGGCATATGGATCCTCCATGGGACATTTTGCTGCCCCACAGCGCAAAAAGCACAGAAGGAAGGGGATATTAAAGCTATTGTAAAGATCCCAAATCTCACTGC